CATTCAATATTTTTTATGTTTGTGAAACAACAGATTTAAAGTACAGCTAAAATTCCAATCATATATACTTTATTCAGCTACAAGATGTTCTTGGCTCTTCAGATATTCCAGTCTTTACAAAGATTGTAAATAGGGAAATTGCTTTTCCCTATTTTGGCCATCATTATATTTTCAAATGAACAATCTATTAATATTTTGAAATAATAAAGATAAATTTAATATTTGGGAAATTAAACTTTTTATAGTGCTTAAAATAATTATGTCAAGAGGAAAGTGAGTTATTAGAGCAGAAACTTATATTCAAATACATAGTTTCTTTTATTTTGATTAATATCTTATTAGCATCCTTCAATTTTTTCCAGATCTGTTGTGCTGTTAAGATAAATTTTGTGTCCAGGTTATGTTGGACACATAGTAATTTTCTGGAAAAATTTTTATTATCCTCTGAACTTTTGAATTACACCTTAATTCAGGCAGAGGGATAATTAGGGTCAGTTATATATTTCATTATATAGAGCTGTTTGATTCCTGTCATCATAGTGAAGGTATTGCCACACAGATTCTATTTTTTAGAATAATTTTATTAAAGTTTACAAATACAAAGATAAAAAAACTAATACATATGAAAGAAAATATAAAAAGTAAAGGGAAAAGTAAAATTAATAGGAAAAAAAGAAAAAAAAAGAAAAGGTAATAGTTGTAAGTTGATAATCCTCAACTTACAACTATTCATTTAGTGAGCATCTGAAATTATTGAAAAAAGTGACATGGCCATTTTTCAGAGTTACGGCCTTCGCAGCACCCCCATGATCACGTGATGAAAATTCAGACACTGGCAACTGGTTCATATTTATGACACTTCCAGTGTCCCAAGATCATTTTGATCACCTTTTGAAACCTGACAAGCAAAGCCAATTGGAAAGCCAGATTCACTTAACTGTGTTACTGACTTAACTGCAGTGATTCACTTAACTGTGGTAAGAAAGGTAATAAAACGAGGCAAAACTCACTTAACTGTCTTGCTTAGCAACAGAAATTTGGGGCTCAATTGTAAGGTAGTAAGTTGAGGACATGTACATAGAAAATGTTATACACAATGTCAGTTGATACCTTCTCTACTGCTTCAATTAAAAAAACCTCATGTCTCAATAATCATCTCATGATCTCACAATAATCTTCTCATTTATCAATAATCAAATTGCAAAAAGACATACTTTAGTTCTAATTAGCAAAGTAAGAGTTCCTAAAAATATTAACATTAACATATTTAAAACTTAATGAAAAACTTCCAATTTTATAATCCAAAATTATCACTCAGTCTAAAAAAGGCAAAAAAAAATTCTCTACTTAGAACAGATCTTTAAAGGCTCCTCATTCAGTTTTAGTAAAAAGAAAAGCCTATTAACAGCTACTAGAAACTACAGAAAACCTTTTTAGTTTTTAAAAGCTTGATCTTTAATCCCATCATCATCAAGTAATGTCCCACATGTTGGTTTCTTATTTTATTTCCTTCTTTCAGAAACAGCTTGAGTAGTATAATTTTGTCTCTTCTCAGAGTTTCCTTGATTTCATGCATTCCTTTTGTAAATCCAAGATAATGCTTTCCATGGCACTCTTCTGATTTATTATTCTGATTTGTATGTCCTCTTTCATTATTAAGACTTCAACTGATTTCATTTATAAATTCATCATTTTTGGCATCCATTACCATAGTTTAAAATCCATTTTCAGAACAGCAGCATCTTTTTCCATTTCACTTTTGTAATCCAGAATTTTTTAAAACTCCAAGTTTACTTTCAAATCAGTTTTAGTCTCTGTTTTATGCAACAAAATCTGTTGTTCCTCTGCATCCTTTGCCATAGTATCTGTCTTGTAAGTAGCTTCCTGTATTTAACTTCTGAGTATATTGTTCCCAAATAGCCTTAATATCTTCTATAGTCAAATAGTGTTGTTTTTTTTCAACTTTAAGAATAATCTTTTGTTCTCTCCTTTAATTTCTTTCTTATCTGTTCATTTTCCAATCAACAGCACTTTTTTGGGGGGGGGGGGGGGGGGAAGAACGGATATCTTAATAATTAATTTTAAAGACCTCATATATTGTTTTATAAACCTCAAAGGTAATATACACTGCTCAAAAAAAATAAAGGGAACACAAAAATAAGACATCCTAGATCAGAATGAATGAAATACTCTTGTTAAATACTTTGTTCATTACATAGTTGGATGTGCTGACAACAAAATCACATAAAAATTATCAATGGAAATCAAATTTAGCAACCCATGGAGGTCTGGATTTAGAGTTACACTCAAAATTAAAGTGGAAAAAAACACTACAGGCCGATCCAACTTTGATGTAATGTCCTTAAAACAAGTAAAAATGAGGCTCAGTAGTGTGTGTGGCCTCCACATGCCTGTATGACCTCCCTACAATTCCTGGGCATGTTCCTGATGAGGTGGCGGATGGTCTCCTGAAGGATCTCCTCACACACCTGGACTAAAGCATCCCCCAACTCCTGGACAGTCTGTGGTGCAACGTGGCATTGGTGGATGGAGTGAGATATGATGTCCCAGATGTGCTCAGTTGGATTCAGGTCTGGGGAGCGGATGGGTCAGTCCATAGCATCAATGCCTTCATCTTGCAGGATCTGCTGACACACTCCAGCCACATGAGGTCTAGCATTGTCTTGCATTAGGAGGAACCCAGGGCCAACCGCACCAGCATATGGTCTCACAAGGGCTCTGAGGATCTCATCTCGGTACCTAATGGCAGTCAGGCTACCTCTGGTGAGCACATGGAGGGCTGTGTGGCCCCCTAAAGAAATGCCACCCCACACCATTACTGACCCACTGCCAAAACGGTCATTCTGGAGGATGTTGCAGGCAGCAGAATGTTCTCCATGGCGTCTCCAGACCCTGTCATGTCTGTCACATGTACTCAGTGTGAACCTGCTTTCATCTGTGAAGAGCACAGGGCGCCAGTGGCAAATTTGCCAATTTTGGTGTTCTCTGACAAATGCCAAACGTCCTGCACGGTGTTGGGCTGTAAGCACAACCCCCACCGATGGACGTCGGGCCCTCATACCACCCTCATGGAGTCTGTTTCTGACCATTTGAGCAGCCACATGCACATTTGTGACTCACTGGAGGTCATTTTGCAGGGCTCTGGCAGTGCTCCTCGTGTCCCTCCTTGCACAAAGGCGGAGGTAGCGGTCCTGATGCTGGGTTGTTGCCCTCCTACGGCCTCCTCCACGTCTCCTGATGTACTGGCCTGTCTCCTGGTAGCGCCTCCATGCTCTGGACACTATGCTGACAGACACAGCAAACTTTCTTGCCACAGCTCGCATTGATGTGCCATCCTGGATGAGCTGCACTACCTGAGCCACTTGTGTGGGTTGTAGACTCCGTCTCATGCTACCACTAGAGTGACAGCACTGCCAGCATTCAAAAGTGACCAAACCATCAGCCAGAAAGCTTAGGAACTGAGAAGTGGTCTGTAGTCACCACCTGCAGAACCACTCCTTTATTGGGGATGTCTTGCTAACTACGCTTTCCACCTGTTGTCTATTCCATTTGCACAACAGCATGTGAAATTGATTATCAATCAGTGTTGCTACCTAAGTGGACAGTTTGATTTCACAGAAGTGTGATTGACTTGGAGTTACATTGTGTTGTTTAAGTGTTCCCTTTATTTTTTTGAGCAGTGTGTTTTCAGGCCCATCTAGCCCTTTAATTTTCCAGGATCCACATTCTGATCCACCCTGTTTTCCAAAAAGTAAAGCTTTTCTTTTTAATCCTTACATTAACTTTGGAGCTATTTAGGCTAATGACAACTGCAGAATTTACCAAATGTATGGCTATCAATTCCTATTATACTGTAGATAATCAGCTTCTTGGGTTTGTTTGGCAGTACTTTCCATAGGCATACTTCCATTCCTATCTTAAATCCATTGCAGTTCATGGATGTCCAACAATCAGAATATATTCTCAGTCTCAAGTCTTCAGCAATGGCAGTGGCAGCCTTTGTTCATTTTCAAATGCCAACTGCAATATTGGTTCATGAGAAATTAAGGTGGTATTCTTGGTGCTGGACAAAGTTGTCTTCCAGCTACTTAGTCTGGGAGATAAATCAACAGAACTTTTTGCTATCACACAACCCACTTAGAGGTTGACCATGGATACTTCCACAATCAGATTAGAATTCCTTGCAGGGATTTCAGATTTCTACAGCTCTAGTAAACAACCTGTTACTGAAGTGGGGAAGGTGTGGTGGTTCAAGAAGATCAGCAGCACAGGCCACAAGGCATATTTAACATTTTAAGAGACTGCTATTGTCTTTTTCTTTCAGAATTTTTTTACATAATAGCCAGTGTTTGCTATGTGTAATCCTTTAGAACCAGTATTTTTGTACAATAGCAGTTTCCTAGGCAGACGCTTTAAAATAGTAGAACTACTATGAGTGCAACTGAAGAGTGTTTGAAAAACAAGAGTTGAATCATTGCAAACAGCAACATACTATGAATAGGGAGCGCATTGTTTTAGGGATGGGATGAAGAGAGATAGAAGAGAAACAAAAGATTCTTTCTTTGCATAGATGAGAGCCTAATTAACAGATACATGGTATAGTATCAGTATACAGTAAGAAATTTCCAATTAACATTTTTATTTTTTAGAGGATAACAGAATTGTAAGAGTTTCTATAGTGTGTTTTAATGTACATTGACCTGAAATACTTGGAATACTGTATATCATTATCAAAGTTTGCACACTCTTTCAGCTGTAGTCCTCCATTTGTATAATAGCAGCATTACGACATCATCTTATTACAGTGTCTTTAAGGATTTCTTTAAGGATATATTATTGAAGCTACATACACACACTCTACACCACTGTAATCTGTAGAACCAAGATAATTTATTATGATTGGTTATAACTCTTTTTGCACAAATCTTGTGTTTGAAGCTACTTTAAAAAAACATAATTCCGTCATGTCATCCTTACAGATTTCTCCTTCAGTGTCTTGAGGACTTGGATGCCAACTTACGAAAGCTAAACTCTCGGTTATTTGTGATTAGAGGACAACCTGCAGACGTATTTCCTAGGCTTTTCAAGGTAAATTTGGATTATTTGAAGATGATTTGAAGCAAGTACAAAAGTATTTCAACTTACTTGAATACTATGATTATACATAAAAGTAATATTTATTGGGCATACTTAATGGACATAATTTGGCTAAAATTTGCACCACAACATTGGGAATTAAAAATAAAAACCTAGTCAGATTGCTTACTTTTAAATTTTTTATCTGTTTATATTATAATGCGGTTAGATATATTAGATATAAATATTTACCATCTGTAAATTGCACTAATGTGACCTTCTATAAAGATGAAGCAAACATCTAAACTTACAGTACCTTGTTGCAATAATGTGTATTCATGAAGCTTTCTGTTCTATTTCATTTTTTCACCTTGTTATCTCTTGGTAAAATCTATTCAAATTAAGACAAAAATAGCCTACTGTAGGAGTACACCTGTAAAAGAGGGAAGGAAAGACTTAATTGCATATAATCCAGTTTTATGAATATAGACATTTTAAGAGGGGAATAATAAAAATATAGTTTGGAATCTCAGAGATCTTATATTGATACTGAATTATAAATGGTAAAGTCTGCTCAGTGCTAAAAAAGTGGGGCTAAACCTCTCTAAGGATTTATAAATCACTGTATAGTTTAATGTAATATTCATTTTATGGGACCAGTTTTGTTATATTTGAAAAATGAGAACTAAGGTCTTTGTTCCAGCTTGCTTAAAACCCTTTGTAGCAAAATTCTTGGCTTGTACACTGAGAATATTTTTTCTGTATTTGCTGTTGAATACAGCCATTTGTTTTTATGCATCCAGGATATATTAACATTTATTATTCCTTCTTATTCCTTGACTTGGGACAATTGCAGTTTTTAAAATCACGTTATTACTTGAAATTATAGGAATGGAATATTTCAAAACTTTCTTTTGAATATGACTCTGAACCATTTGGAAAGGAGAGAGATGCAGCAATTAAAAAATTGGCCACTGAAGCAGGATTGGAAGTCATTGTACGGATATCGCATACCTTATATGACCTAGACAAGTAAGTTACCAATTTCTTAAGTGTAAAAGGGAAAAATAATATTTTCTCATTGATGCTGCGATTGTACGATAGGAAAAATCCCTATGGAAGAGCTGTCTTTAATTGCTTCTTGGCTTATCAGGGAAGGAGGCAAGCCTGAAGCCATAGGGAAGCTGTTTCAGAGAACTGGCACTATAACAGGAAAGCAACACTTCCTGGTAACAGCCAACCAAATTCGGGTATCAGCAGGAGCTTCTTTCAGTGCAGTCTTGCTGTTCAGGACAATTTTGACTGGATAATGTAGCCCTGGATATATCTAGATGCCGAGCCATGAGGGACTTCATAAGTCAGAACCAGTACTTTAAAGGTAATAGTTGTCAAGAATAACTGGATTCAAAGAGGGTCTCCAGAAAAGGTTGCATATAGCTTCTTTCGAGGCCGTTGGAAAAAAAACCCTCAAGAGAAATTTTGACAAGCTTTCAGATCCAGTCAGTCATTCTCCCCCCACCCTCTTCACGTCTAAAAAAGTGATGGCGATCATACTAGCACCCTATATTTCCTTGGAATTCACAGGCTTGACAAAAACCCTAGATAATACAGTCAGATGCTCCTGTTGTCAATTGAACTCTGTTAATGAAGAGTCAAAACTGAGAGAGTTGACTGTCAGTAAAATCCTACATAAATTGATCACAACAGCTAAAGGGAGGACCTTGTCACTTCCTGAAAGGCAGTTTGCCACCCTAAACAGGAACATATGGAGATAATCTCATCCTCATCTAGATCAATTTTCAACTGCTCTGAAAGGAATGTGAAGTTAAAAGCATCTGTGCCAGACCCAAGATTTATGAAGGCCATGAATTCATGGATTCTTGTGTTCCCCAGGATATAAATATCCATCTACTCCCTCAAACCAAAAGGTGTCAGGTTTACCATATCAGTCCTGAAATCACTTCCAAGAGCCCAAAAAAGGGATTCTAGATTCTAGAAAGGGACCTTTATTTGGGAGAGGGGGACTCAAAAATATGGAATAGAAATAGACAGGATCTCTTCATTTTGTGATGCCATGAGAAGGACATGAGCTACATGTAATTCACAGGGCATGGATTCACCACAATATTCACCACAATACTTATGCACAAAGAATATAGAAAATTATGCTCAACTGCTTTTTTAGTATTTGAATGCTGGTCAGATACTTTCTTTCTTCTAGTAATTTCTTTGTAACCAATTGTTAAGTAACCCTTCCAGTGATCTGTTCATTCATTTACAGAGTAATCAAATTGTTATTGACCATTTTATTAATTATTTGTATTAAAATGATTGGATTTGCTGTATTAGTTCTACCCCTTAGTTTTTTCTATATTTCTAATGAGAAATTACTAATTATTCATTATATGAAGTAAATGTCATAACGTAATATAGGTAAGAAATGTACTATAAAGTTGCACAATAAACATACATACTGTTTCTAAAAGTATAAACCAGCATTGAATTCTTTGTTATGTAGAATTATAGAATTAAATGGAGGCCAGCCACCTCTTACTTATAAGAGATTCCAAACTCTAATAAGTAGAATGGAACCATTGGAGATGCCTGTAGAAACTATCACTGAAGAAGTCATGTCAAAATGTACCACCCCAGTTTCTGATGATCATGATGAAAAATATGGAGTTCCGTCACTTGAAGAACTAGGTAATCCAAGATATATCATCCCCATTGCTTGAGCATTATTTTTAAAAAACATATCTTCTAATATGTGGTTATAAGTAGGAGACTCTGCTTAGTTTGCATATAGAAGATAGTAAGGTCTAATAGCAGGATCTGAATGATAATAACAGTACTTCTCAATTTATGACCACAATTGAGTCCCACATTTCTGTTGCTTAGCAAGACAGTTCTTAAGTGAGTTTTGTCCCATTTTATGACCTTTCTTGCCACAGTTGGGTGAATCACTGCGGTTGTTAAGTTAGTAACACAGTTAAGTGAATTTGGCTTACTAATTGACTTTGCTTGTCAGAAAGTTGCAAGAGGTGATCACATTACCCTGGAACATTGCAACCATCATGAATACGTGCCAGTTGGCAAGTTTATTGATCTCGTCACCACAGGGATGCTAAAACAGTCATAAGTTTGAAAAATGGTCATAAGTCACTTGACAGTACCATTGTAATTTTGAATGGTCACTAAATGAATGGTTGTAAGTTGAGGATTACCTGATCTTGTCATTTAAAATGTTGCTTAAGACTCTATAAGAAACTGATACTGCCTATTAATGCATGCTTCTGCACAGACATTATTCTAGAATATATATGTAACATAATTCAGTAGAGTTTCCAAATAACCGTGTAGTTTATTGAAAATAGCTCCTGTATCGTGAGGAAAAAAAGAATAAGTTCCTGGTTGTTAAATTTTGAAGACTTGCTCCTAGATTGGGTGTCGATAACTTACCAAGGGTTTATAGTAGTTGAGAGAGAGATTTCAGAATATTTGTCACTGCACTGAGGAGCAATAAATTATTTGAATAATAATTCAGTATTCAATAATTATTTATTCAAAGTAATCTTAACTTGCAAATTTAGCATTGGGACAGTTCAATATGTGTAATAATTGTTTAATGTACTAAAGTTTTATAACTTATTCAGTTTGTAGCTTGACTAATAATATTTGACTAATATATTTTATTTTGGTTTCTGTACTATAGGTTTTGATACAGATGGATTGCCTTCCGCCGTTTGGCCAGGAGGAGAAACAGAAGCACTCACGAGACTGGAAAGACATTTGGAAAGAAAGGTATGTTGTTCACCTTCGTTGTTTGCCAAGTGTAAGTGTAATCCTTGACTGATGAGCACAGTTAAGACCGGAATATCAGTCATAAGTTGTTCTGGTTGTTAAGTGAGATGCTCACATGACCACTTTGCTCAACAATTACAATCCTGGCATTCATAGTTGCAGTCATTAAATGGAGCACAGGGGTTCCTCAGGTGGTGGAGGGTGTGAGCTGTGTGTGTGTCCTGCAATACAATTCAAAGTCACAGCTACCTCAGCCCAGCCTTGCAGTGGGGCACTCATCAGCAGAACTGCCAGGCCTAGGTCTCAAGTAGAGCTGCCAGCTGGCTGCCACTGCTCCAGGCCTTGACTTTAGCCCTAGCACCACCCCAACAATAGAAGTGGCTCCAAGGCGGCTTCAGGAAAGAAGACCTGGCGTGACCAAGAGCTGCATTACATAATCTGTGTGGGCCTCTCAACATCAGGAAAAAAAACTGCCTGGAGGCAAGTGACATGACAGATTCTTGGGAATGCTGGGCAACGGGAGCAAGTGTGCTGTTTCCTAAGGCATGCACATCTTAGAAATCAGTGTGAGGCAGCATTTCTGAGTGGTAGTAATGGTGATGGCTGCTGGCTAAGATTCCTAAAAGCTTCAGGCTCAGGCCAGCACTGCTGTGCAGGATGGCCCAGATGCTGAGGGTTGTAGGCAGGTAGAGGTTATAAGAGCAGGCACACTGCCAATTGCCTACATTTATGACCAGGGGCGTACTTCAGGGTTTACAACTCTGGGTACAGGTCATAACTCCCTTTGTTCAGTGCCAAAATTTTAGTCATTGAACAAACGATCATTAAGCAAGAAATAAATGTAGTTGATTACTCTATTGGGGCATGAAAAAAATTGAGCCAGAATGCTAATAAAGCAAACTAGAGTGCTATCTTCTGTGTGCTTGTTGTCAAGTATTGAATGCTATAATTTTTATTGAGAAATAATTTTGCATGCTTTAATATTTGATTAGCTATAATTTTACGTATCAACTATACAATTAACGTTTTTATGCTGTATAGATCCTTGCAATCCCACTTATCCATCCTTTGTATCCCTTGGGCTTTTAAATCAACATAGAGTATCAAACAGAAAATTTGGGATATAGACCCCCTGGGACACAAGCTATACTTCACACCATTTATAGAATGAGCATCACTATAAAAAATTTATTTCAGTAAAGTAGTTTTCTAGGCTTGTATTCAAATACTGGAGAAGTGAAGTGCTGCAATATAAATTTACTAAACATCTTCAATACATGATAAATAGTACGATGTGTAAAATAATATGCATAAGTAATTCTGAGATTTTGAGAAATTGATCATAGCCATTGCAAGCTTGGTTTTTAAAATGCTTTTAAGAAACATGTCTCAACAAATAATAAATATCAATACCCCCCTCTCCCGCCCCCTTTTCTTTTTAAGGCTTGGGTTGCAAACTTTGAACGACCTCGAATGAATGCGAATTCCCTTCTTGCAAGTCCAACAGGACTTAGTCCTTATCTACGTTTTGGCTGTTTATCTTGCCGTCTATTTTACTTCAAATTAACAGATTTGTACAAAAAGGTATGAATTGACCACCTGGATTTATCTGTGTGTATTTAAGACATGTATTTAAAAAGTGAGTTTTTAATCATATGTTATGATTTCCAGGTGAAGAAGAACAGCTCTCCTCCTCTTTCCCTGTATGGACAATTGTTGTGGCGTGAATTCTTCTACACAGCAGCAACTAATAATCCACGATTTGATAAAATGGAAGGCAATCCCATATGTGTGCAGATTCCTTGGGACAAAAATCCGGAGGCTTTGGCCAAATGGGCAGAGGGTCAGACAGGATTCCCTTGGATTGATGCTATTATGACCCAGCTGCGTCAGGAAGGCTGGATTCATCATCTTGCCAGACATGCTGTGGCATGCTTCTTAACTCGAGGTGATCTGTGGATTAGCTGGGAGGAAGGAATGAAGGTAGAATTTTCTTCTCATTAACAAATTTTGGTATTGTCCTTAAGATTTTGATATTTCAGTTTGTTTCTAAATAACGTTAAGAAAAGTTGTACTGCATAGCCAGTTTGCGGTTGATTCTTCTGCAGGGTGTATGAAAATCTTTTTATTATTAAAGTCTTGACATATTTGCTTCTTTAATAAAAAAAAAGTTACCACCCTTTACCTGCAATTTTGAAGCCACATTGAACACTCTTGGCCGGAGTCGTAAGAAAATATAGTTTTAGAGTTTACTGCAAGTGTAGTTAATGCAGAACCAATAGGATTAAATGCACATAACTTCTGTCAGGAGCAGTAAATGTTATATAATATAAAGTAGTTTAGCTCAGTAGCAACACCTAGTGGTGAGTCAACACTTATGCATTATAATGTGCATTGAAAATATTTCCTTGTTTTCTCTAATCTGTCCCACACTCACTCTTCTTTAACACATTAAACATGTATGATAAGTGTTCGATAGAATACAAACACGGCGATCTCTGGGATTAGATTGTCCTGTAATACTGTGACTAATTGCTTATGCTACTAGTTTTAAATATTCTGTTTCCAGCAATGTATTTGCATTATCTGTTTTTATAAATATGTAAGCTACTGTACCTTGAGCCTTTTCTGCGGATAAATGAGTTGTCTGCTGACTTTGCACATTTCAAAAGTTTACTGTATAGAGTATGTATTTCTCCTCAACATTCTCCTTATGTGCTTAGACATGGGCATTTTAAAAGCCAGCATGCCGACAAATTGTTACTTGAAACAAGGGGGGGGGTGTAATTATAGGGTTACATTAATTCTTTGGTTTGGGGTTTTTTTTGTAGGTATTTGAAGAATTGCTTCTTGATGCAGACTGGAGTGTGAATGCAGGCAGTTGGATGTGGCTCTCTTGTAGTTCATTTTTCCAGCAATTTTTCCACTGTTACTGTCCTGTGGGTTTTGGCAGGAGAACTGATCCTAACGGGGACTATATCAGGTAAAGAACCATTATTAGTTTAAAATGAAACATTATACTGAATTATTATGATGAACCATAAAAATGATAGAAAATTTCTTTTCTTTCCTTTTCTTTTTTTAATTAAGACGGTATCTACCTATACTCAGAGGTTTTCCTGCAAAGTATATATATGATCCTTGGAATGCCCCTGAGGGAGTGCAGAAAGCTGCAAAATGTATAATAGGAATAAATTACCCCAAGCCAATGGTAAATCATGCTGAGGCGAGTCGATTGAATATTGAAAGGATGAAACAAATCTACCAACAATTATCCCGATACAGAGGATTGGGTATGATGGAAAGCTTTGATTTTACTTTTCTTTCATGATTTTTGGCCTGAAAGTCATACTTAATTGCTGAAATCCTGGTTCAATATTTATAATTGGCTGACTGAAGAATGAAAAATTATTTCTTTTGCACTTTTCTCTAATTTCACCTTTTTAAAAGTTGCAGCTTTTAACATTAATTAACGGCTATTATATTAATATTAATATCACATAGACTCTGGTTCTTTCAGGGTCAGAACATTGCAAAAAAGAAAAAAAACATTGGCCTTTTGTTTTAGAAATACAATTAACTATTATTTAAGGTGAATTTTCTATATTTTCATATTAAGGATCAGTTTATTGCTAACATTTTAATTACTATTTGTGGGATTGTTGTCTTCATCTTCCTGAGTAACAGTTCCAGCATTATTGATATTTAATTTAAAATATAGTCTGTATTTGCATGGGATTGATTCTTTAAAAATAATGCTCTAATTCTTATTGAGAAAATCAACTCCGTGTTTGAGGCCACTGCATTTTATTTTGATTAGGTCTCCTTGCTTCAGTGCCTTCTAATGGAAATGGAAACGGAAATGGAAACGGAAACGGTGGCCTAATGAGATATTCTTCAAGTGAAAATCTCCCTGGTTGTATTGGTACAAGTGGTAAGTTACTCCCATGGTTAGAAAAACTAAGAAGCATAAATAAAAATCTATTTGATTGACTACCAACATTATAATAATAAGCCAAAGTCGAGTGATGGTTTATAAAGTAGAAGACAAACCAGAGCCTCCTTAAAAGGTCCTAGGAATGGCTTCTCTTGAAATGAGGAATTTATCATTGCATGAACTCGCCTAATGGTCATCATCTTGGAGGCTTTCACTAGCCATGAGGGACAAGGGTCTAATTGTTGCATTGACAGTGCATGTTTTCTGATGCTGTGTCCTAATAATGCTGCCTCTTCTGTCCTGAGCACATTGTTCCATTAGTCCTAGTGTTTATCTGGATGTTAATGAACAAACTTAGGTTCTTGCCCTGAAGTTCTTCCTTGACATCAAACATTTCCTCCTGGTACAATTCCTTTCTAATGGTACATAATCATGAGAACTATCCTTATATCATGTGATGAAATTCTGGAGTTCTTAGGGATTTTTTTTGCAACAAGTTCCATTCTGCTCTTAGGCTGAACTTGCTGAGATGGGCTGGGCAGGTTGGCAGTTGTTTGAAATCTTCACTTGTAGATAATATTCTGGACAGTGGATTGATGTCCAAATGATTGGTAATCTTTTTAAATCCCTTCCCAGACTCATAGGCATCTTAAATCATCTTTATGCAGGCCTCGGAGCTCTTTCAATCCAGGCATAGTGATGCCACCAGCCAACTAAATATGTGATAACACAGGTACCTCCCAGATCCTCTCTAACAATATGGTAAACATTTGCATCTGATCTGGTACACCTGTTTTTAATTATAGGTATCAAGTATAGTGATAAACATTGGGGCGTACTTACTTTTTCCACATGTGAAATTTTCATTTAGATTTATTTACATATACAATATAAGTTGTGCATGATGTTAAATATATCCTTTTGTGTAATTCTAAATCCCGAAAACAATATATTTTGCTTTCTTTCAGGTACTCAAATGGGAACCAGTGAAGGACATACAGGGAATGTTCAATCATGCACCCTTGGAGAGACTCATAAAGGAACAAGTGGAATTCACCAGCAAGGTGGGATAACTCAAAACTGAATTCACTGTTCCTTCACCCTTAAATAATAAAGTGCGATACTCAAATCCCCTTGTCAAATCAAGATATATGGATTTCAGCGGTGTAGTTTATGCATAGGCATGCTTAAGGATAGTGAGTAAAAATAGGAATTACTAAAGCAATTAATATACCTAAAACAGTAAAGTCCAGCTGATCTCCAAAGAAGTGAGGTAGGCTTGGCAACAACTCTTTACTATGAAGACCTCTAAATGGACCCCAAATGAAGGAGTTGTGTTAGAACTGGTTAAGCAGTTTAATTAATTAATTGCTCTTCATTATTTTATGGTAGCCAAGAGTAATGTTTACTAGGTAACTGAATCATTCAAAGAGATACTTGCTTTAAGTAATGCTTAGTACACTGTGATTTTTATATCTATGATTTACTTATTTTCTGTAGAGGATATGTTATAAATCAAATAAAAACTAAGCTTAAGAATACAAAGTGGGAGCCTTTGCTTTCTAACAATATTAAATAAAGATACAGAATGGGACATTATTAAGCAAGGAAACAAAAATAAGAAATTATAGTGAATATCTTATAGGTCCTCTCCCAGATAATTTTTGCTTTATTTTGTACTTACGATTAGGGATAAGGTTAGATTTCATATTCAGACATAATTTGAGGGTGGTATTTGTTTGTGACAGAAAATATGACTTCTAATAAATTCAGTACAATATTTCAAACTCTCTGACAGAAAAATTAGTAATACTTAAATATTATTTATTAATACTTATTAAAACTATAAGAGAAAAGTTTAATGTTGATTTCTAAATACTTTTGTTCAGAAATTAAAACACTTTTTTTAATAGGTTACCCTCAAGGGAACAGTGGAATTTTACATTATGTTCATGGGGACAGTAAAAAAACACACTTAGTGCAACAAGGTATGATTTTTGCACAATTTATGATTTGAGTTGAGTGAAAGTCAAAGATGACATTAAAGTACATGTTTGTCTTCAATTGTCTTCAATCTAGGAAGAACATCACTTAGTGTTGGAGTGTGTTCTGGGAAGCGGCCAAATCCAGAAGAAGGAATTCAAAGTATTGGTCCAAAAGTCCAGAGACAGAGCAGTAATTAATGGGATAAAACTGAGTTGTGAAGGAAATGATTGATAAACTACATTCTAATCTCACAAAGAGGAAACTAAGCGTGCCTGCTGCATTTTTTGGGAGCATAACTTTCTTGGAAGAAGTGGACCAAACACCATTGCATCTAAAATCCTATTTGGCAGTGGCCAAGAACTCCCTGTCATTAATTTCATACTTCGAGCAGTCATAATCTTATCTCGAGTGTGGCTTGTACTGTCATTTAACTACATCCAGTTTCTATTTTTCCATTAAATTGTGAATTAATGTGGTTTTGTTTCTTTGAATTTGCTGGGAGAGAAAAATATTTACTTGAAACCCACTAGTCATTTGCGTATCATCTTGGGTAATGGGCAGTATTTATTTTTTCTTGAAATTATTTGTTAATTTTTATGCATCCCAATTTATTTTTATAGTGGGAAGTTTTAAAAAAATTATTTCATCTGTTGTCATTTTCTATAGATGACACTTTTCCCTAAGCTTTTATAGCCTGAGCAGTTTAATATTTTTCCATTTTATATTCATGTTTTTTTCCTTTTTCTTAAGATAGACTATGTAGATGCATTCAGGGTAATGTATACGTAGCACATGGATTTATCTATGTCACTTGGAATATTTTTCTCTTAGGACTTTTAAATTCTTAAATTGCTTCTTATATGCATGAGCAGCAGACTTACCAATTGGTTAATAATAATTAGCCATGCATATTTCCAAACATATTTTTCTCAGAAAAAACTTAGTCTACCCTTTACTTCTTGAAGCCTGGGAGGGCATGTGATTCCTAAAGCATTTTGAACTAAAGCATCTTAGAAAAGATGAAGAGCTTCATCTTTCTCTTTTGAATAAATGTCAAGAAAAAATGAAATATTTTATTGTTGAGTTTTTTTACCACCTGGCACACAATGATGGAGTTATCTATTATCTAGGTCCTCGGCATGGTGCAGGTGCAAGTTATACCTTGATGCCCACTAAGCATACTACCTAATTTTTTAAAAACAAAATTAAGGGTGGCGGGGGTGGCGGCGGCGGAAGAGAAGCTAGCATGTTGCAGAACATCACCTTCAAGCATAATTTCTGTCTGTGCTTGATATACAAAGGCATTCTTCACCAATAAAACAATAGATTGCTACACTGCATTGCTTTTGTTACTTCTTGATATATGGATATTTTCTGATTATCTTACCTATAATTGTAACTAATTGGTCAGAATGCCTGTGAATGAGGCATTCCCTCTACTCTACAAGTGTCACTGCCTTTGCAGTAAAAGGCTGGACTAAGAAGAGAGGACCTGAAAATAGATTCTGTCAATTCTGGACCTTTCCTCCATCCCTTGCTGACCCATTTCCAGCTGCACCTGTACCATCAGCTGCAGACTGCATGCTACAGTTCTTGGAAGCCTGCCTCCCTACCCTTGTTCCAATTCTGCAATCACCCCATACAGCAATTCCCCTATAGCTTCCACCTTCCCCTGGGGAACTGCCGCTGAGTCTCCTGCCTCGCTCAGATATAGAGAGCGCTGTCGCTTGCTGTCCTGCTTCCTCCTCCCCAGGTGGACCTGCTTGGGCCTGGCAAGCAAATGAGGTTCCACCATCCTGCCGACCTCACTGCACACTCCCAGGGCTATACCCTTGCCTCGTGTCTGGGTCTTGGCCACCAAGAAGGAGATGGCAAAGGTCAGCTCTGAGCGGGGGTGGGGGACAGGATAGGGATATGTGATAGAATGCAGGGTACCCAAAAAGAGCATAGATGGGAGGGAGAGAGGTGGGTGGGTGGGACAGTTAAAGTGCCCTTGCAGTTGAGTGCAAGTGACTTGGGGAGGGGGACACTGCAAAAGCCATACTTTCAGGTACAGGTCTTACCTCTGTTCAGTGCTGTCATAACTTGGAACGGTCACTGAATGAATTGTAAATTGAGCATTACCTGTGATGTACCATGAACCAAATATAAGTGATTTAATATATCATCAGATTTCACTGATGATTGCTTCTACAAATTCAGGTTCTTTCTCATTTACTCCCCCATTATCCAGTCAAAAGCACCCACTTGTCCATTGCTTTTTGGGTTTTTTTTATTACTGTAGATGTGCTTAATCTTTGGTTTCTGTATTTGAAATACAGTATTTGCATTTTTAAACCAAAAAGGTTGATCTTTTGGTTAATGCAAACATATAGATCTTAAAAGTTTAGTTATGGAAAATATTTTGATTCAGCATTGCATGAAGCCAGTAAATTTTAAGCTGAAAGTTCAAATAGTATAGTTATAAGAATTCCTTTTTTTAAAACAGTTTTTTCCTATTTATAACTGATAAGTTTATCCCCAATTTTTTCCTGTGCTCAGCTTTCATAAGCAAATATTCAGCTGCAATTTTATTCACATTTACATATATGTAAATGCAGTTAAACTCATTGTGGGTTTATATATAGATGTACATAGAACCATGATATTTTTTAACTCCTTTTCATTCTTGTCTTTGTTTCTATTTAACATTCTGTTGACATGTTAACTGCTTACTGAAATCCCTGTATCTATTTTCTATGCCTGTTTTCTCCTTTTTGTCTTCCACTTCCCCCTTGCTCCTAGCCATCTTTGGATCTCTCATTGTTAAAGACAGTATGTTTTAGAGTCTTGTAGCACCTTACAAGCCACTTTTACCATCTGCCAGTCAGGTATTCCAAAGAGAGTTTCTATTTTTAGTTAAAAGTATATAAGTACATTTTGCTAACTACTAGATAACTTTCAGATTCAAAAGCATAACAACTAGTTCAGTACTAATTAGCAAAATATATTAAAAGGTTTCTTAAATTATTTTCTAATTGATTGATTGATCTTTGTCTTACAACATTACTAAAAGGGAAGGATCCACACTAAGTTTCAGTTTTTGTGAGAGTGCTTGTATTAAAATATGCATTTTCATACATTTATTTTCACACAATTTGAATGGTTCTAAACTAGTATGAATTTTTGGATTATAAGGTTTCTAACTGACATTTCTATGGTTTTTAAAATTTTAAATGATGTTCACCAAGGGAAAAAAAATAGACGTTTGTAAATAAAACAGTTGATAATTAGTTTAGTTGCAGTGTAAATACAAGCATCCATGATTAGTGATACTCATCTATTTTTGATATTTCATGTATGGCTTTCATAGATTCCATGGCTGGACAGAAAATAGAAAATGTTTGAACTACAATGTTGATCCTCTACATTTTTTTAAAACTTGGAACAGAATTTTTGACTACTTCATGCTCCAGGCTCTCACTTTTCAAATGTCTTATTTCCCAGTGTATAAAATATACTAAAGATTTTACTTTTTGAAAACTATCTGTATATAAAACCCTTTATGCTGATATTTTTGTTAAAGTACAAAATTGTCATGAAATGTATTCCATTGTGTTTCCCACTGCCTTTGTGAAATCAATGGGGATGCTCTGATTAATAAAAATGCGTATATATACAGATTATTTCACCTATACCCTAATTTTGGAAAGTAGATTCGTTGTCTGAATCAATTGTTTTTATAAAATGAGCCCTTGTATAATGGATTTCTTTACAGCTTTTGTTATTTAAAAGAAGCTGAACTCTTTTAAGCAGTGCTTATAATTTGAATTTTTTCCATCATGGAAAATTCAGAACGACAGAGCACAACACTCAGGACAAAAACCTATGGTTTTTTGCAACAATGGCAATAATAGGGTGTCTGCTTTACAAGAAAGTCAGATGCTGAATAATGGGAAGGCAAAGATTTGTATAGAAGTTGAAGGCTGTGAGGCAAAAAATCCTATGGATCTGATTTGTTGGCCAGTTTGGGGAAGGTCCTTGTCTTTGTACCTTCCTCTTGTGCCATATCTGTCACTGGATATTGGCAATCACGTTGGCGATCCTATTTTTATCAAAAGCTGCATGAAAAAGTGCTGTTGAGTTTTGTCCAAACCAGTCCCTTAGATTCTGAAGCCATGATGTTCTTCTGCCTGGACCTCATTTGCCTTCAATCTTTCCTTGGAGGATTAAGTGAAGTATGCTGTGTTTTTCTGGGTGTCACATCACATGTCCAAAATATTTTAACTTTCTTTGTACCTGGGTTATTTCTATTGTTAGGTAGAGTAGCTCTGTTACAAATAGCAGCAGAGCTGGAGTAGTTGATCTCCTGTTGAGGTACAATGTTGAGATAATCAGGCTGGTGGATTCTCATCTTGTTACTCTGCCACTTACTAGAGCTGCCCTCGGGCTGTACTGTGAGCTAGTGAGGAAGTTTCTGTGGTTTAGATGGGATTGCAAGGAGTTGATATGACTAGGTAAAGAGGAGCTGAGTTTCATCTCATCATATCCAAAAGACAGAGAGGAAAAAGGATGTCACCCCCATTTTGTTAAATTTATCTTCTCTACTAGATTCTTGGAATAGCATGCATTCATATGAAACATTTGCAGCAGAATCTTTCTGGTTTAACAACTTACAACACTTTTATTTTCTTGTGTGAATAACTTTCTTATACAATGATATAAATAAAATCTGCTTCTATTAGATTATTTGGTTAGGTAGGTTGAATGCCTGGATCCATACTGTTCTCTGAAATAAAGCCTCACACCATGTTGGTGAAATTTTCTACATTTCTTTTAGATCCCTGTTTTCTATCTTCATTTTTATTCTATCATAAGAGACCCCTAACAATGCCAAAAATTATCTTAATCAAAAAAAGATATACTATGGTGTTATACATCACAATTGCAACACAATACTATAATACTTATTTCCACAGGAATGATTGAAATGGACAGTGTCCTATAGCAGTCATGTGAAATATATAATTACTAAGTACATGCATGCTTAATATAAGAGTTGACAGATTCTCTTTGAATTGCGAGGGGAAAAATCAGAATTTGAATTTATTGAGGATTATGGGTATATCAACCTAGGACAGTTTTATACTATGTAATAGAGGAGCCTATATATCTGTGCTTAAATAGCTAATCTATGAAATTAAAAAGCTGCAATGGGGTGGGATGGATAAGATAATACTGCTACCAGGAAATTATGTGGCAAGTAGTTTTGGGAGATGGATAGACAGCTTTACGGAAAGGTGGTATTTCACCATGTCATGTGTGAAAGTCTGCAGCTACAGTTGTAGTAACAGCTACAAAGCTTGCTACAAGGCAACCTGTTAAGATTAGGGGCTGAAAGGGAAGCACCAGAACTGAATTAGATTGCAGTTTTGTTTGTATTTTCCAACACACACACACAAAACTGGTTGCACAAAAATAGCTTACATGAAAGCATTCTTTAGATTAATTGCTGTCCCTGTAAATCTACAGAATGGAGGGATAAAAACTGATCCACATACTACATAAACAATTAAAAATTAACTGTTTTGAACTTTAAATATCTTTTTGAAGATGACAGAGTTTTTGGGAGTGCAAAACCTCTGAGCATTTGTAAATGTTTTTAAGTGTAAAGTGTTTTGCACTCTGAACAGAGCCATTTCAAAGTGTGCTCAGAATGCTCAAAACCACCCATTTACTGCAGATGTGTCATTTTGGAAAGGACATGGAGTATTTCAACCAAAGCGCTTCAACTTCTTACTCCAAGTATTATAGAAGAAGAAAGCTGCTGACAACTGTTTGACCTGTAGGTGATGCTCTTTTTCCTACCACTTTTCTTAAAAATAGCCTAAATATTTGAAAATAATGTACATGAAGAAAACGTTGATTTAGGTCAGTGGTAGTCAACCTGGTCCCTACTGCCCACTAGTGGGCGTTCCAGCTTTCATGGTGGGTGGTAGGGGTTTTGTCCCCTACTTTATAAATCACCATTACTGTGGAACCAGTGGGAGGTTAGAAAATTTTACTACTAACAGAGATACAAAAGTGGGCAGTAGGTATAAAAAGGTTGACTACCCTTGATTTAGGTATTAATCAGAAGTGGTATTCAGCAGGTTCTGACCCGTTCCGGAGAACCGGCAGTGAAAATTTTGGGTAGTTGGGAGAACTGGCAAATACCCCCTCTGACTGGAGATTTTACAGTATCCTTCCCCTGCCACGCCCACCAAGCCATGCCCACAGAATCGGTAGTAAAAAAAAATGAATCCCACCACTGGTATTAATATATTATTTTGCAATTCTGCATTCTTCTCATAGAAGAATT